TTGTGTGACTTAGTTTTTGTGTGGGTTTCTTTTGTTCTCAGTTGCTGTGTAGCTCATCATTGAGGCTTGCAGGGAATTTGGAGTGGGACGCTGCGTGGAAGCTGCAACCACATGACTTGGACACACTGTGAAGGCCTACACGCACATTTTTGCAAATTCAACTGCATTCACAAGTTTACTTTAAACCAAGAGGATACCAGTGTGAAATGTCCTCTCTTCTACATCCATGCAACTCTGTTCTATCTCCAGCTGTTGTTTTGGTGGAGAGTGGGCCAGTGGGGATAACAACCCCTGACTGTAGAAGTAGTTCTTGGGCGCCAAATCGTTTGTGTGTGTGTGTTGCTCAGGCCACAGAAGGTCAGGACAGCTGATAGATGCTGTCCAGCTGCTTGGACTGAGGTAGGCTGACCAGAAATTCTCTGCAAATTTAAGCCCCCTTTATGCTCTAAACACTTCACACAGTGCAGGGTGCCTAAAATTAAACATGTTTTGAAATGAACCTAATGTAGCTGACAAAGCCATCTGTCTGGAATCCACTGCAGGAAGTGTTCACTGGCTCACAGACCATTACGTCTCAGGTCATTGGATTCAATGTCTGTTTGTGTTTTACGGCCGGAGTTGTAGCCTTAACGGGATCAAACTTGGTATCAGAGTGGATTTCCTCTTGGTTCCTGGAGCAAAGCCCAAGTGTTAAGACAATTGGATGTAGACTCGATTTTACCTTGAAATGGATGAGCTTAACACCACGCTTAATTCTGCCGGATTTATTCATGTCAGTTCGGTGGACGCCAGGTGAAATGCATGTAGCATTGCTGGAGCAATGTAACACCAGCATAGTGGTTTATAATATAATGTAATCCCACTGAAACTCCTACTGAAGGTGCTTTGAACCAAAATCATCCATTGATGGACAGAAATAATTATTGATGAATTACACTTGCTCATTTAACTTTTGAAGCCAGTTCATATACAATATTCATTTTAGAAAATACTGGTTCAGCTTCACAGTGTTTACCAAAACTTAAAACATTATATTAAGTGATTTTACAGCCATTAAAATAGGCCAATTTATAAATATGTGCCCCAAGTCAGTCCATTAATACCTTCAATCTAATTAGGTTTAATGAAAACCTGTAATTGGCATTAGTGCGTTGAAGATGTTTCAGTTGGGAGTGTTGCAGTGATTAGGAATGGAATACAATACAATATAAAGCTGCTGTAATTACTGTGCAATGAAGACAGAATTGTTGCTTATAAATGAGCTCAGATTTCTTTATGGTGGTGGTCAAAATATAGAAGGTCAAGAGTTCGGTAAATAGAATATTGGCATTTTAAATTCTCCTCCTGAAGCAGTGAAAGTGCCTCAATGCAGCTTAGTTTCTGTGGAGAGATGAAAAAGCATGTTCCTGCTGTGGTGTTGAGCCTGTTTATGCTCACCTCGGACTGATGGTCCAAGTGACGCAGGACTGGCTGCATGAGCAATCGAGCCAGAGAGAGAAGTGCAATCTCACAGCTGTCTGGAGACTCGCAGGAGAGAGAGAAATGTTCCTCTGGCTGTGAGTGTGCAATCTGGATTTATCACTCTCTCCAACACGCACACACACACACACACACACCTCTAATGTAGGGTACAGAGGAGAGAAGCAGTGAAATGAACAGTTTAGCCAGATGCTTTAGTCACTGAGGAGGGATTGGTGATTGGACACAGTTTTATTTCCTGGTTAACTCCTCTCTCCTCCTCCTCCAGCTCCCTGACCTGCCTGTCGAATAAGGAGTGTTGATGGCTATAAATGGTCTGAACCAAACAGCAGTGTGCTTTTATTCAAAAGTTTGAAGTATCAAGTGGGTGGAGTTTAATGTTTGAAAACTTAATTTGTCTCAAAAACATCTGTTGAAATGTAGAAGTTTGCTCCACGCATTTTGAACTGAACTGTCCTTATCTAACACTGCAAGACAGAAACTACTTCCTAGAGTGTTGAACAAGTGAAATAAGACTGCAGAAGATTAATCACTTAACCACTCAACCACCGACCGTTCTCATAAAAATGAAAAAAGGGGAACTCAAACAATTACTCTGTTCCCACTCAGTTTTGGTTTGTTTCCTTAATTCCGTTTCGCATATAGACTCCACCTCCTTGTGTTAAACGCTTAGAAATGCATTTCTTTTAATGGATGGACAGAGATGCCATTGCAATTATGAGAGAAAGGCTAATTTTGTTTTGCAACACATCAGAGATCAAGGAGGTTGCCATAGAAATGAATACATGTCAGGTTGACCTGATTACGGACACAGTCATGTGGAAAATGGGTGTTATTTTACTTCCCATATTATTTTCTATATTCCACCACTCCTCTCTCACACCAGTCTTCACCCTGTCCCTCTCCTAAAAGCTGTGACTGGTTGTAACATAATTAAACCAACTGTCCACATTTTGTAGCCTCACTGGCATTTAAAAACCTCCTGTGACCGACGGGTGCGGCAGCATGAGTCGCTCCTCGCAGCTACCCGTGGCTTCCCTCTCGGCCTCTAAGGTTGATTTGGGTGGCGGCCTGTTGCACTGACTGTGTGTATCTGATCTTATGTGTTGTTTCGGATGCATAGAAAAAAATTTTTTTTGTCTCAGTCTCTCTTTCCCCCTCTGGCCCTGCTCAGCTGCTCCGGCCATCTGTGCAAAGCCAAACAGAGAACAGAGGGATGGAAGGAGAGCAGGAGCCATGGGGGAGGAAAGAAATCGAGGAGAGAGAAAATGGTTTGGAGAAAGGGAGGATCAGCGGGAAATGAAAGAGGGCCTTATGATATCTGAGATTTAGTTCAGACGATGAGTAGAAGGGTGACCGAAGAGGGAAAGAAAGACGAGGAAGGCTGTGCGAGAATTGTTTCCAGGAAGCCAGCGGCACAAAGATGATGTCTGTCTCATTCTAGAAATAGGACAGTGAGTATGTGCATACACGTTTAGGTCAGTGGAAACTAGGATGAGTAAAGATGTCTGGATTTTGCAGTTTGACCAGCAATCGTCAGCCCAGTAGTGAGCTCATTTTACATCTTGTTTTTTTCCCTGTCTCTTTCCTCCCCCTCTGTCCCACCTCCTCTCACTGTTCCCATGCTCTGCAGGCCAAGCCTCTTCCTCTGGGCTGGCCTCTGCTTTGCCTCAGAGTTTGTCTCACCACTTAAGCCTCCTGCACAGCCGCCTCCTCGCTCTGTTTGTAAACTTTGACAGAGCAGTTTCCTGCGTACACTCCCCTCACACACACACTAACCCCTGCACTTCTCTCAAACTTGAGATGCTTCTTCCATCATCCGTCCGTCTGAAAATTGCAGAAGAATCACAATTAATTAACACAGATGGTTGCCCTTCATCGGGCCTCACATGCCTCATGTCCCCATTTCTTTTCCTCAGTTGCTCATCTTTGTTTTTCACCCATGAGTCAAACTGTCTTTGGGCTTGTTGTTCATGTCTTGACCCAAATAAGTCCACATCTGTTTTCCACATCTCCTTCCTTTTCTTTTTATATTAATTTACGATAGTAGTTGGAAGTTGTGTTCTGATTATTACTGGTGCTATATACATACAGTGTGTGTGTATATATGTAGTTTGGTCGCTAAAGCTTTTAGTCCTTGATGTATACTATCCCAGAAAACTGGTCTTCCACACTAGTGACTCTGATGCCATTTTGTAAGAGGAAAAAAAAAAGAAGCCGTTAAACTGTGCAACTGTGTCACTGAGCTTTTAGGTGTCACAGAGGGAAACATTTGCCGCTGCATTGCAGTTGGCATTGAAATTAATGAAGGCTATTTGTAGAGCATGTCGTTCCTGCGGTAGACATGTGGCCCCTACCCCGCTACCCTACCTTTCTGTGGCCCCTGTCGCACACATACAACTGATCATAAAATGTGTAGATCTAATGGTTTATCCGCAGGTTTCCCCAAGCATTGCTTATATGAAGCTGTTATCTATTTTCTTTTTATTGCCGCTCTTGTTTGTATGCATGTGGATGACTCTCTTTATGTGTTAAACTGTCTAACATATGATTCAGTCTCCTTAGGGGTTATGCAGCAGTGTCCTATACACTGTACGGCACATGATTCTGATTAAGTTCTCCATCTCTGAGTTACTTTTAAAATATTTCTCTTTGTGTGGGGAAGCTGTAGGAAGATAGAAGCCATTGGTTTATCTGATTCAAAAGGCTAGCAGCATTCCTGGAGCTCTGTGTACTGATAGCAGAGACAGCACACTGTTTCATGCCTGGTCTTGCTGTTGACTAACTGTGTTATGCTCTGCTTTATCTTGTCTCTGTCCAAACCAGACCTTGTGTTCTCCAGAAAGCCCGTAGACCCGTGGCGATCCTGTGAGCTTCAAGTCGATCAGCCCTGTCCTGCAGAGACGGACCACCACCACTCAAGAGGAGATGAAGCCGGATGGGGTTACCACGGCAGCAATGGAGCCAATGGAAGCGTTGGATTCCAGTCCAGGAAATGAGGCAGCACCCGCCGTAGGACAGGAGCCCAACCAGGCAGCCAGTCCGGTGGAAGAGGAGATGGTTCAGGTGGAACCCCAGCCAGAACAGGCCAAGGAAACCCCAGCTGCAAAGACCAGCAACAAGACCTCAGGAGACTCCAAAGCCAAGACTCCAAACAAGGCCCCAGCCAAGACAAAACCTACCACCACCAGCCAAACCAAGACCACAACTGGCTCACGTCCTAACACAACCCAGAGCCGCCTCTCGAACGGCACGTCGAAGCCTCAGACCAACGGAGTGGCTAAGAAGGCCACGCCCGCTCCAGACAAAAAGAGCACCCTGACCTCAGCGCCCTCCAAAAAACCAACAGGCACGGCTGGAGTGCCACCCTCCAAGAGCAAAGTGGGTGAGAAGAAAGCCCCTGGTGCTGCCCCCCCCACCAATGGTGCAAAGTCGATGACTGGACCAACAGCAGCCAAGAAGACCAGTACCACTGCAGCTCCTGCGAAAAAGCCCATAGGTTGTGACAATTTCATCAAAAGACAAAAATGTGACGTTTTGTAGGCTCATCCACAGTCAGTCTAACATGAAATGTTTTCACAGCTCTAACTCTAATGAGGAGCATTCATTGTAATGTGATTAAATCTAGATAGAGCACACGCATTAGACATGCCAGAGTGACTGCTGCTGATCTAGAAATACATTTGCCCTAGATCCATCTGACACACTATATAAAAGCAATACATGATGGACTATATATACATACTACATAATGCTTTATAAAGCTTATTGTGTCACATACAGTGTCACACATCCTTAACTTTCTCTCCTCCTCATCCTCTCCTCCAGCTCCCAAATCTGCAGCTCCTTCCAAGTCTGGCACTGCTGCTGCACCTAAGCCTGATAAGGCCGCTGTTCCCAAGACAACCAGGTAGGTGTGACATTAGTGTAGAGCTGAGGCCTCGCATATGCTGGAGTCTGAGAGAGATTGTCTGTGTGTCTGTAGATAGCACAGGCAGCTGTGTATAACTGGTCCTCTTCTCAGACCTCAGAAAATGTTCCAACTGAGCTCCTTTTATTAAAAGCCTTTCCAGTCATTTGCTCGCAAATCAGCACATTTACTCCAGAACAGCAGCAAATCAGAATAACTTTCCAGATAGATAGGAATTGTTGGGAAAGAGTTCAGCATTATAAACGCTTATAGCTGCTCAGTGCCAAGTGAGATGCAGTTGGTTCAAAAAGCGTAGCTTGACCACAGGTTCAAAGAACACACTGTTTAAGAGAAAACACCCTGGAGGAATGAGGGACAATGATCCCCCACATAGAGTCTTGGATGGGCTTGGCATAAATAGGCCAACAACCCGCCAATGTCAGAATAAGCCTTAGAGAAATGCCTCGCAGGGTTTCACAGCAAGTATTATACAGCATTATTAATAAAACAAGTTTTCAATAGGAGGAAGGTATTCTCAAGAGTTAACTGAGAACAAGAGTATAGTCTTAATGTTTTGTCTGAATGCTTATCTGCATTTCTGTATACCAGAACGTCTGTTTGTGTACAATCACGTTAACATGTGTTCCTCACCTGAGTCACACTGGGTGCCTGGTGTTTGGTCCTGAGGTGACTTGGCAACAGACCAGTATTGGAGGATGAACAAGGCCTTTGTCTGAGACAGCGAGGGTCCTGATCAGATACAGCCTTTGGGAAGTCTGACTGTTCTTTCAACAGAAACTCACACTGCTGCCTCTTCCTCTTTGTTTATTTGTTCAAGCAATAAGCCTCTTTTCTTCCTCACTGTTTTGCCACTATGGTGTATGGTTTGTATTGTTCCCATGTTGGCACGTCTGTATGTGGGCACATTGGTGAGTCAGAAACAGTATCAGTATCAGCCAAACTCCAGTGCACAGGAGAAGGTGTGCAACATACATACGTACATACATGACCTTCTTTTACTGTAGTTATTACACTAACATGACAAACGTACAGTTGCAAGCTGCTTTCCTCCACCTGAGAGCAAGGTGTTTCCCACCCCACCCCCTCTCCACACTGCACGTGCCATGGGTAGCAGTTGGTGTGTGGAGATTACACTCAGATTACAGCTTTATTCAACGGTTGATGTGCAAACATCTCATTAAAAGGTATTACACAATGGCATGCAGGCAATCACCAGCGCAGAAGAGAACACTCATTGTGTGAACTTCATGAACTGTCATGGTCATTAATGTAATAGAGAAATGATTGACTCTGAGTAGTTTTTCAGCACGGATCAGGCGCTGTTCTCAACACGAGTGTACGATGGATGGTGAAGTCACTCACAGTGCCGTTGTTAATAGAGATGTTTAAATACCAGCATGCGTCCGTTACTGCTGGAAATACAGGGTTGGGCATCGACAAATACATCAATGAATGCGGCAATCTGTTATGACGTTTATGAGTATCACCCAGATTAAACTGCAATTTTCAGAGCAGCGTAGAAAAAGTGATTTCTGGTAGTTTATCGTTATCCAGAGCTATGCCAGTTCCAGATCACACTGGAAAGTCCCACAAGTAAAAGCGTGATGTGCACTTCAGTTTCAAGGGATGTCAATGGAACCAGTGTTATCAATCACAACACTAAGGATGATAGCAATCTTCCCTCCATATTATGTCTCACACACCATGGTATCACTGTTACACAATTATTATTAATTGGTTAATCTTGATAAACAACTGGTGGCGCTAATTCTCCGATCAACCACCATTAACGAATTGCAGCAGATGAGGGCTGAAATGATGTAAAAGAACTCAAGTCAAATCCCAAATGATGGAAAACCATGTGAAATATAGATGGGAGTAATGCGTGTGTTCCATGTATTAACCTCAGGAACCTCATAGGATCACACAGATGCAATGCTATAGTTTTCAAAGGCAGTTTGCAACATTAAGTTTTTATTTGTATTCTTAGTTTTTCATTGCAGCCAACAGTGAAAACGTTTTCTTGATGCACGAATTGGAAAATGTAAATGAAAACAGATGTATGGGAACACACCTGTTGAAACAGGTAGAAAGACTTCATCACATTTATTAAAAAAGACTGAGCTGAAATCTAGATGAGTCTATCATTGTAATCAGGTGAAGATTATTAGTGTTGTATCTAAGCTCAGCTACGTTTCATTATTTATTGGAAGTGTGTGAGTCTGTAACATGTTACACTCAGTGCATGTGTAGCCCACGGAAGCATTTTACTGCAGTAGACCTACATACAAATCCCCATGAGAGAGGTATAACCATTACTGATGATAGGCTCCTCTTACAGCACCATGTACGCTTGTAGCCACGCTTCGTTAAGTGTGTGTGCGTGCACGTCAGCATCTGTGTGTGTGATCTGCTTTGACGGGGCCATAAATTTCTACTTTAATTAGATTTTGCCCTTTTCCTACCTCACTCCACTCTTAATTCAGGCCTGCTATCAGTAGAGTGGTGGGGACGGATACATTCATTGGCACAGCAGACTCCCCCTGCTTCCCCTGTTGCTGTCACACACACACACACATACTCCCAAAGTGGGTCTATCAATTTACTTGTGTTGCTCTGTGGTTCAATTGATTTAATTCCATCTGCAGCAGGTCACACTTACCAGAAAAATAAAAGTGCATAGCAAATGTTCACTAAGTGACTTCCGTCTGAGTTAATGCCACTCACAAGTGTTTTATTCTTCTCTTCAGCTGGGGGTTTTAGCAAAATTAGATTAGGTTTGATGCCAGTGGCTATCACAGCTCATTCTTTGTCTGGGTAAACACCCACTCTGCACAGCCAAGCTTTTTTAAAGAAGACCATTGAGTCATCTGAAAGCTCACGTACATATTTTTCCGGTGTCAGCATCTAACTACTCAAGAAACAGGCTCTCTTCACACGGGGCTTTATTAACTGAACGGGTCAGGGAAAGGTGTTGTTCTGACGTCACAGTTGGCGACCAGTCAGTCAAACATAATGGCACCTTCAGTGAGGGTGTAGAGGCGGAGCCGCTGGTGATATTATGTTCAGGTCTCAGGTTGTGAATCTGTCAATGTGTTTGTACAACTAAAGTACACAGTGTACGTGTGTGTGTGTGTGCATCATGCCTGTACTTGTTCCCTTTAGATCAGTGTTTATACAATATTAATGTTTTGTTTTAGAGTTTTCTGTCATTCTGTTTTTCCTGCTTGCATCGGCACGCTTGCTTTCTTTAGGAGGCGTGTGCACCTGCTGTTTAAAACACATTGCCCAGAGCACGCAGCTTGTGACAGGAAACATTTCAGCCTGATTAGTGTGCAAATGGCGAAAGTAGAAATCATTACAGGTTGTTTGAACATCATGTTCATGTGTGCTGCGATGTATGCTAACAGTTTATGTGTCAGCTTGTGCGCATGAATATTTACACGTTTTTTCTCCTGGGCAGCCGCAAAGATGATTCATGTTTGGCGTAGATAATGTATGGACTGGTATGCAGCATGCAGGACCACACAGCAGACTGTGTATATGTTATATAATGTACAGTGTGTACATGTACTGCAGCTCCTGGACGCCCGCATAGTAGGAGCAGCATGCAATTAGAATGCAGAGCATGTGTTCATTTGCCGGTATATTAGTCAGTATGATGTGGAGGTAAAGGGGGATGGGACGAGCACACGGTAGAGTGCTGGACATGTTACGTGCCGCCGAGCTGCTTCCTCCTGCCGGTGCAGCAGAGTGAGGTTAAAAAAAAATGGTGGTGGTGGAGCATGGAAGCTACATGGCTGAATAAGTCATGTGTCCCTGCTGAGCTCCCATCACGGCTGCCAGAGAAGCGTACAGAGTGAGAGGGTAGTGCATGCAGAGAGTGTGAGGTGTGAGGTGTGTGTGTGTGTGTGGGAGAGAGAAAAGCAGAGGTGGCGAGGACCAGAGGGTTTCTCTGCGTGAAACAGAAGGAAATATTGCCCATTTTTAGATTAGAGGACATAACAAGGGTATTTGCTTCTACTGTAGAAATTCAGAGGATAAGATGAGACAGACTCGCTGTTGGGTGATCAGGTTGTTTTCTGTTTTTCCTGCCAGCCTCTCGTGTTCCCACATTAGTCATGCTGCTCCTCATTGATGGTCCCTGGGGGATGATGAATTTTTACTGCAGTGTGTTGAATGCAACATTCTTCATGATCTTACAAATGACTGCTGATGTAATGGTCCAGCACTGATGTGTGTGTGTTGAGCAGTTGTCCGGGTCCTCGCCCCAGATACCGTTCAGCCGCCCAGCTTGAAGCAGACGACGTGTTGCGCAGCCTGTAAATCATCTGTACTGTTCTGGGTGTGGTCGGTGACGATGTGATGCGGTCTACTGCTGCCATGAAGCCACCGAGCCAATTACCAAATGGATTGAGGGGGAATTGGTCAGAGAGAAGTGGGCAGAAGGAGGCGTTTGTGTGTGTGAGGGTGAGACAAAGGTTTAAGTGTGTTTATGGGTGTGTTCACTCATGCTGCAGACATGTGACAGATGTGCGAGTTGTTTATCTGTAACAGAACCAGACATTAACTGCTCTATTTCCAAAAAACGATGTATTTTTTATTATTTATTATTTAAACTGCTCACCCGGTTTCCATGAGAGTTTGTGGAGGGGTGGATCAGCTCTGGCTCAGGGGGTGGATCTAGGATTTTTTTTGTTCTTTAATATCGTGACATTTTTCAAAATTATTGTTGATTTGTTTGATATGTTTAATATTTACTGAGTCTTAAGTCTGGAGTAAGATCTAGTGCCTTTAAATGAGCTATGAGCTCTACCAAATGACATTCTAGTTTGAATTGTATCTGCATTTAAAACAGAGCAGGTCTTCATTGTTCCCTGTAGAAACCTTGGGAACGGGAGAACAGTAATGTTGACTGAGATCTGATCATTTAACAATAACATTTCCAAAGTGCCCTCCTTCCTTGAAATGTCTGAAGCCTCTTTAACCCAGATAAAAATTCCGCCTCCACGTTTCTGCAGCTTAATTAACACACCATGATCTTTAATTTGCCGCTTGTCTTGAGAGGAGGGAGGTCCTCTTCTGAAGCTTGTCACCTCCGCTGCAGGCATAATGTCTGCCCGCATGCTTGCTTAGCTTCCAACCACTCATTTGTCCCTTTCGTGGTGCATCTCATGATTTTAATCATAGCCTAACTCCTATTGTATCTTAACAAAGCAACAGCAGCGGGCAGACATGTTTTTACACACTGATCCCTTCTCAGCTGCAATGTTTGAGGAATAATAATAAAGCTAAGGTGAACTTTAAGGGATCGCTGTGAACGTCAGTCAGCCTGTAGCGAGTAACTGTCAGAGTCATGTGATGTTTCTGCTCGAGTGCATTTCTGGGCTTTCTGTGCAACATTTGCTTTAACCCCAATTTATAATGTTATTTATAGTGTTTCTGTCAGCTTGGCCTGTGGTGAACAATAGTCACATCCCTCCTTTCCCTGTCCTCTGATACATGCTGCAAGTGGCTGCAATAACCCTGTCAGTCATTCAGCTGACAGCGAGTTTAATTACAGCCTGAATGAAGGCTTAGAATATATCAAGCATCACAACATTGTTGGTTGACAACACACCAAGTGTAGTTAAACCCCATCTAATCTCAGAACACACAAGAAGTAATTTTTCTGTCCCCCAGTCTCTGAAATCCTGCAATAATTTTGGAACAGCACAGACTGCTGTCTTTAATAAGACACTGATATAAGATAATGTGTAATCGGATGAATATTATCTGCCTACGCTCTCTCATCTCTCTCCCTCTTGCATTGTCTCTATCTCCCTCTTGCCTCTTTCTTCCTCAGTGGCCTGGTTAGTCTCTAGTTCTCTCCAAAGTGCTCCTGCCTTTTTGGATTACCCCTTTTCCTTTATCACACAGATTATTTTGAATATTCACTGAATTACCCTCAGCACACTTCATCTTTAATGCCAATCTCTGTATCCTTTAATTTGGGTCAGATTTTTTTTTTTTCACCACAGAATTTATTCTCATTTAACCTTTTAACATCTTGTTCACAATTTGAGCTTTAAAATTTTAACACCTCACTGACCATTTCCCAGTTTTAAGTTTAGGTAAAGCTTGTTATAGAGTTAAAGTAGAAATTTTAGATTAAGTTTAGGACTAAACTGAACTTTCCTCAGGAGGATTTGCTGCAGGGTTTAAATTCATTGCTGTGCCAGCGGAAATTCATTTTGATCTGTGTCTTTTATACTGTCTCTAATAAAATCTTAAGAGGGCTGCAAGAACATGAGCAACTTCACATGCAATCTTTCACATCAGCGTTTTTTGATTTTCCAGCTAACACAGTCTCCTTCAAATGCAACCAAGCAATGCCTCACAGACGAGTCTATCCGTGGTTTTACTTAGCCAGAAGGGATTTTACTCAGTAAAACGGAGCAAACATGATCCAACAATCCCAATATCAGTAACACACCTTTCACTGGCCTAAAGCCTATTATAAATTATGTGGATTAACTGTAAATGCCGGTCTGAACTTCTGACATGACCACACCCTGTGCTGCCACCCGTTGCTCTCCGGCTTTAATCTTCATGTTACCAAATAGTATTCCACCACCTTTGCCAGGTTGCGGATGGCACGCACCACTTCGTTGCCCTTACACAATGAGTGTGCTTCTGACACAGCCTATGGTTCCAACCGGGCAGATTTGGAGAAGTTATTTTTGTTCTCCTTTCAGTATTAAAGATTAACATGCTCCCAGCCATCTTCACTCTCTCTCTATCTCCCTCTTGTTGGCTGTTCTCTTTCTGCCAGTCCTAACTCAATTCTTTATTTAGAAGCAGGCAGTTAGTGTAGCATGGGCCCAGGAGATTGCACACCACAGCCCTGTCAGGACTACTAGATGTAGGTTACTTCTCTCAGATGGGACATGGAAGCCAGCTTCTGATAGGCCACCAGAGCAGTCAGGCTGATGCATAGTGCCCCAGGTGTCGACGGCGTATTTGGACAAGAGATCAGCGACAGGGTTCACTGGGGTTTGGGCGCCTCTCAGGCGTCCGTTGTGACTCACGTTCCAAACTGCATCACTTCGTAGTCTCTCAGGGGAGTTTGTCCTGTTTTTACCATTGTTTCAGATGCTAATTCACTGAAGGCAAGGTCGTGCTTGTAAACAACTAGTTTGCGCAGCATGTTGATCATATCTGAAAGCAACAGTGTCTGTATATGGTCAATTGGGTCCGGACATTTTCCAGAGTTTGTCTTTCACAAATGAAGGTAGCAGGAGACTGGCCAAGTCAGATGTGGCAAAATCTTCAGAACGTTCAGGCGAGGGATGGTGCTTGTGTAGAGAGCAGCAGGGTTAGGGTTAGGGTAAGATATTCATTTCACTGCAGAGATCACGTGTTTTTGTTTACAACACATTGCCCTCCAGTCTTTGAGAGGGCAGTCATCAACAACTCATGGTATTTGAGCTGATGCTTCATCTGTAAAAGTTATTTCGGTCATTAAGGATGTTCTGTTCTCTCTTTATGAGGTGAAACGCCTCCATACCCAAGTACTGTTTTAGTCCTGCAAGCTTTGCAAACAACCTTGCTGGTGTTTGTGATGTGTCTCTGGGTCTATCCTCTGGCTGTGACTAATGAGTGAGGCATCACAGTCCTGCTTCCCTGTCACAATCACTCTGAGGGGCTTACAGTGGTTGGAGTGAGACCCGATGTTTTCCTCTTGCTGTGAGGGTTGTCAGCTTAAATGCCCAAGTCACCTTCAATTAATCTTCATCCCTTGTTTTTTCACAAGGAAAATCACCTTTCTGTTGAGCTCACTTGCGTATGTCCATCTCATAGGGATTTCAAATGACTCTGTCTAAGAATGATCATGATCTAGAAAGACACTGATATCCATGTTGAAGAATGTCTGGTAACCCCGTTCTTTGTCTTCTTTACTTCAGGCCAACAACTGGCACAGCAGCATCACCTCGTCCAGCCACAGGCTCAACCCGGCAACCCCTTACAAGTGCAACCAAGAGCTCCCCAGCTACATCCAAACCTGCCACTCCTAAAACCCCCTCCTCTGCTGCTAAACCTGCTGCCTCCAAACCAACCTCCTCTACCCCCTCTGGTGGCAGAGTTGCCACATCACAAACATCTAGAAACTCAACCCCTGTGAAAAAAGGTACAAATAAAAAGATGATGTCATGAAAAAGAAAGCGCTGTAAGCATCACAATAAAAAATCACGACAACATTTTCTTCCTTGACTTAAAATCAGTGACATCACTACAGAATGTTTAAGTAATGAGTCTTTTGTGTGGATTTTAATATTCTGTTTTAGTTTCATTATGAGACTATTTAACCATTCCTTGTGCTCTGTTTTCTCCTAGATGTTACCAAACCAGCAACCGCAGCATCCAAAAAGCCTGCAGACTCTCCTCTTACCCGTCCTTCATCTACTACAAAGTCCGCAAAATCCGAGACCCCCAAATCAGCCACCACCACCAAAAAGCCAACTACTACTACCAAGGCTGTGGACACAAAGACACCCAACCGCTCAAAAACACAAGAGAGTAAGCCCACACCTTCCAAGACGCCTGGCTCCAAACCGGCTGCAGCCAAGACTCCCACCGCCAAGAAAACTGTGGGCAGCAGCACCCCAACCCCTGTGAAGCGTGGCCCCAAAGCAGCAACAGTTGCCGAGCCTGTAAAGGAAATTGCCGCAGCTGTAGCTGCTGCTGCAGCTATTGCTACGGCTGCAGCTGCCATTGCCGTGACAGAGGAACCAGAACCTCTCGCTGAAGTAGCTGTGGAAAAAATCTCAGAGCCCACACCAGAACCAACACAAGAACCTGTACTTGCACCGACGCCAGAGCCTTTACTTGAGCAAACTCCAGAACCCCTACGTGAACCAACGCCAGAACCCGTTCGAGAACCATCTCCAGAACCCCTACGTGAACCAACGCCAGAACCCGTTCGAGAACCATCACCAGAACCCATTCGAGAACTATCACCAGAACCTGTTAGAGAACCATCACCAGAACCTCTCCGAGAACCATCACCAGAACCCAT